CCTTACCCCCATGACCTCCCTGAAGTCTTGTGATGCAGCCTCTGACATCTGCAGGCCACTGTTGAAATAAAAGTGCACACATCACCCTAGAGCAAGCCACTGATTTTAGTCACATTTAAGCCTAAACCCAGACTTAGAATGTAAAGTTATCCCCCGAAGAAATATAGTCTTAAAACACATATCTCTGCCTATAACACAGAAAATGTTTTAAATGACTAAAGAGCAGTCCAGTCCTTAAATCCCCAGTAGTTCCAACCTTGACCTCCTATTTTGGTCCCACTTACATCGTATAACTAACTGATACCTTGCCTCTGGCCAAGTTTAGAACCCCAGCATACCAGGACTATTACTTTGACCCTGGAGCCTCAAGTGCTGTAGACATTTATGAATAATTCTGCTATCTTTGTTCCACTCCAGGTGGTTAGTCTTAGCCAGGCCAGGTAATTCCACATCGCATTGCTCACGGTTAACTCTGAAATGTGCATGTGACCCATCTGGCTAATAAAATGCTAAAAGACAGTCTGCTGGGGACTTCTACTTAAGGGTTTATGATCCCTGGGAAAGAAACACATAAATGGATAGTCTCCGTTCTTCCTCTGGATGTTATCAGGTCTGGAGGTGAGGCCTGCAAATCCTGCAGCCATCTTTGAACATGTCATTACCCATAAAATGAAGCCCATGTTGAAGGCAACAGGATAAAAAGATGGGAAGAATTTGCATCCTTGGTGACATTATTAAGGCCTTGATCAAAATAGCCTAGAACCTGCCATATTGCAAGACTTCCAGTTTTGAGAGAAAACAAATTTCCTTTTTGCTTAAGCCAGTTTGCTTTGTAGAAATCAACTACATTAAGCCAAATTTATACTGTTAGATATGTTGAGGTTCATTTTGTTTTTAATTCAACAGATATTTATTGAGCACCCACTCTGTGCCATGCATGGTTCTAGGTACTGGTAATATAGAGGCAAATAAGACAACACTGCCTATTCTTGTGGCAATATTCTAATTTGGGGCAACAGGAAAAAAGTAGAAATAAATGTGTTAGCTTAGGTAACACCAAATGCTATGAAGAGAATAAAGCAAGGTAAGGTGCTAAAGAATTACTGGGAGCAGCATGGAGGATAGCATAGTCTTAAAAACTATTAGATGTAGGGCTGACCAAGTGGCTCAGTTGGTTAGAGCGTGAGCTCTGAGCAACAGGGTTGCCGATTCGATTCCCACATGGGCCAGTGAGCTGCTTC